GAGAAGCTATTTTTTTCCTTCATTTTTTCATTTTCTGTATAAATTTTCATTTATTTTTTTTCTTCTTTCACTAACCCTCTTTCCTTTATTTCCAAACTTCTCTTCTTCATCCCTCCTCCTCAATTTCATATCGTCCTTTTTCTTTCCCTCTCTCAATTCCTCATTTATCCCTTTTATCCCTCGCTCATTTGTTGCTGAACAGGGGCTGAGTCACTCTGAGGTGGGAGGAAACTCTAATATAAACTGGGTCTGGTTGGTGAAAAGACACAGAGTTCTACTTCTGAGCCAGCCAGAGGGAAGATGGAGCAGGCTGAAATCTCCACGGAAACATCAAGCACGGTAAGTCATGGTTTGCTCTTGAAATGTAGTCTCATACGCATACTCTTTAGTTGATATACTTTACCGCCTGAGGCCGTGTTGTAGGCACTGCAGGAATGCATGTGTGCCGTGTTTTACACAAAAGAAATATTCCTGGTAAGTTAGAAATTGATTTTTAAGAAATAAGATCAAATAGTGAAAAAAGAAGTAGTACCCTTTAAAAAAATAACTTGGTCAATCCTCTGTGAAACACAATAAAATCTCACGCAAAATTAAGACTGTCTCCAAATACAGCCACTTAGTGTTATAAAAAAAATCATTAAATATTAAAGCTTGGGTTGCATAGAAATCTGTAAAATAAAATGCAATGAATGGAATAAAGAATATAAGACACAGGAATTAAGTGTGAATATAAGATGAAATGTTTTCATATTTTTGTAGTATGAACTTTGGCAAAAGAAGCAAAATTAATACCACTTCTTGTCCTATTTACAAGATAATAGTCATCATTATTATTCACATCATTCATTATTATCTTCTCTATTTTAAGTGATTATATTAGAAATTACAATGCAGAAGTTACACTCATAAAACTGAGCCAAGCTCCTCAAACCAGTTGGCTAATAAAAAGAACCTTGTGACATTTAGAATACAGAGAAGAAATCTCTTCAGTATACCAAGTGGACACCTAGAATAAAAATTATTTAAACAAAAACATATGTCTCCCATTATAACAGTTTATATCAATCATACGTATATGTTTTGTACATGTGATTGTTTTCAGTAAGGGTAAATGCAGAACCAGTCAGTAGAGTAAATACAAATTTAACTTTGCGACTAATCTGATTTTAATTTAATAAAAGTGAGCTCACTTCATTTTAAATATATGTAGGTCATCACATGCTGGGCAGCCATTGCCTGGACAGCAAATGCCCCGTTGTCCATTGAGAAGGTAGAAGTTGATCCACCAAAGCCTGGTGAAGTTCGAATTAAGGTAACTATATATTGAGACATTTAGTAGGTATTGCTGTAGATATGTGTGCTTAGCATGACTTTACAATTTTAGGAGGACAAATAGCATATACAAAGGTAACTGATATATAAAGATAATGACTCCCTATGGTTTACACCAGTTCTGTATTGCCATTCATTATATTTCATTATTGCATTTTATTAAAATGTCACAAAATAAGATATGGAAATACTGAAATTAAATATTTTAAACACACTGTGGTGTTTTTTAAAATACGGTGTGGTTTTTAAAAATTTGAAAAGAAACAAATTGTTGACCCAGAGACCTCTTTTTTCAGTAGTTACTCTGATACGATGATTATATAACTGCTGTGGTGCAATTGTTCTCTCCAAAGCTCGTGTTAGAGTTCAGTTGCCAATGTCATGGCGTAGGGAGGTGATCGTGTCATGGGGTCACCACCTTCATAAATGGATTAAGGTTATTAGTTATCATGGGAGTGAGTGGGCTCTTCAAAAGGATGAATTCAGCATCAACTCCTCTTTCTGCACACACATGCTGTGACACACAGGGAAGTCCTTGCCAGATGCCAGATGCAATGTTCCTGGGCTTCTCATCTTCCATAACAATGAGCCAAATAAACGTCTATAGTTTATACATCACCCAGTCTGTGATATTTCGTTATAGCAAAAGAAAATGGACCAAGAGGACAACAGAGCAGACTGCTCACAGTGAGAATAGTGAGAAGACTTGAGCTCCTTAACCTCACCGAGCTCTCACGCTGAGTCTCCACTGAAGACATAGCAGATTTAAGACTGCAGACAAGATCACTCATTCTCTCAGTATACCTTAATCTCTCAGTAGTAGGGAAGAATTTCACACCATGAAGGGCAAGATGAAAAGATCTCTGGCTTCCCCAGTTTTTACCCCTGATCTTAGTTAGAATACTGTGTCTAGTGTCATTAAAAGTTATCAGTAGCAGCACTTAAGGCTTTTATGGTCCTTTACCTTATTCATGTTAGATAACAAGGTCAGTATCCTTTCCTTAATTAACTAAACAGTAATAAAATTCAGAACTTCTTTTTAAACAGTAACTAATAACCTAAACTTCAAAATGTTAAATGTGCTCTACAAACATTGAAATGTTAAGAAGAGGTTCTATATTAGCAGCTGTCTTGTGACTGTCTCATACAAAAAAACAATGTGTTTCTTCTCACCTGTTTCCTATTCATCATAGCACGCATATTTCTTCCTGGTACTAAGATCTACTGCCCAATAACTTAGCAGAATTAAGATCTAGTTGATAAAAATGCATAAAATAGTATTCTCACTAGACATAGATGATTCTACTTTCTCTACAATCAACATTTGGTATTCTCAGATATCATATGATTAAACTTTACATTTTCCTGAAGACTAAGGAGTCTGAGCATTTTTCATACACTTGTGGCCACTTGGATGATCTTGGTTGTGAATTAGGTGATGGTCTTTTGTCAATATTTTCTAGTTTGTCAATAATTTCTAATTTTTCCATCTTTACCTTATTTATTTGTAGTTTTTAAATATGTATATATACTAGATAATATAATATTATAGAGAAATATCTATATTATATATTCCACAAACATATAATGGTTACAAGTTTCTTCTTCTAGTCTGTAGCTTTTCACTCTCTTAATGGTTTGTATATGAAGAGAATTTCATAATTTTATCACAGACCATTTCATGAATGTCTCCTTTTTTTTAAATACTTTAATTTTAAAAATCATTGATTGTCCCAAGTTCAGGATGATAATTTCCTTGTTTTTGTCTAGAATATTAACTGGTTTTTATTTTACACTTAGATTTACAAATTGAAATCATACAATAGCAGTTTTTTTGTCTTTGACTCATTTTCTTCCTATTGTTGGGAAATTTAAGAGACCAGAAAGACCAACAGGTGAAACAGACGGATTTATTTAGGTGTGCACCAGCTCAGTGGATTCAAATACAAAGGCTGAGCCTAGGGCAAAGGAAAGACTCTAATTTTATACATGTTGCTGAATGGAGATTGGTCTACCTAGTGGCACAAAACTTGTGAATGGGCAAGCAAGTTTATAGAAGCAGAACAAAGACAGTGACTTAAACGATGACAGTTTGCAACTTAGCACATCTTGGTAGTCTTGGAGGGGTGAAGAGAAATTGGCTCTTATTAAAACAGGATGTTGTGAAACATTATTATAGGAACAAAGTTGGAAGGACAAAGAACATCAGCCACAGGGAGGGGAAGACTAAAGGGGAATTGCTTAGGTTGGGCAAACTTGTTTTTCCTTCTTTTTAAAAGCACTGCTCCACTACTTATACATTAAATTGATCTAGTCTTTGAAAAGTCTGCATTTCACTCCTGTACTTCAGTGCCAGTTTGTCATAAATCAAATAGCTGCTATGTCTGAGGCTGTTTCTTGATTTTAATTATTCCATTGACCTATTTCTTTTATTCTTTTGTTGTCCTTTGGAGTAGAAGACATTAATTTATCTATCTTTGCAACAAAACCAAATGCTGCTTTATAATAGGCCTTGATATCTTACAAAATGAGTTCTATAATGTGTTCTTCAAACTTTTCTTGGCAACACTTGACATTTTGCACTATTGCATTGACATGTCCTGTCATATCATAATTCTTCATCTATCACAAATTTTGCCTAACTTTTCTGTGGGCTAAGTGTGGAACCCTCCTCACACCTCATTTTCAAAGAATTGCCACACTAGGTCATATATATATATAATAGGAGGTAAGAAAGCAAAATGAAACAAGAAATGTTATATTTACTTTGTAGAATAGTGTTCAGTTTAGTTGGTATGAGTTCTCCCAACTAAGTCAACATCATTAATCTCTGGCAGGATTTCACCAAAGTTCTATCATTACATTCAATCAGTTGATACTCAGTTTGATTTATCCGATTACTAATGATCTATTGCTTATACTGTACACACATTTTTTGCTTTTCTTTAGCAGAACGTTGAGTGTGAGAAAGCTTTGTCTGTCATAGTAGGAAGCTAAATCACTCATGTATAACTTCTAATTCATACTTAAATGGTCTTTTCAGTCAAGTACTGTCATTTCAAGTACAAATAGGGTGTATGATTTTGAAATTTATGTCAAAGCAGTTAATTGAGAGTGCCAATGACTATTAGACCATCAGGAACATTTGAAATAGTTCATTGAAATCAGAGAAAAATAGAATATATATTTCATTCATAGTACAGAATAATAGGCTAAAACAATTTGGAAAACAAACAGAAATGGAGGGTAAGATTATTTATAAAGCAAAGGTAACAAATTACTTTGCTTGGAGAACTAAATAGAGACTTCAGTGCCAACAACTAAGACACGTGATTAGCCAGAGATTTCCTACAGTCAAAACCTAATGCAAAAAGACATGACCTTGCAGGAGAGCTATTTGTGTCCCAAACCTGAGCAAACAGACCAAGAAAATAGAGATAAATGCCTTCCACCTTCAAAGATCAAAAGAGAAGTAGAGAAAATAAGGCAACATTGTACTAACTGATCAATCAGGTTGGCAAAAATTACCAGAGCTCCAAGGATCAATATCTGCTGACTAGGAAGAAAAATAGTAAAGATCATATCTATGTGGAACTGATTAGTGCCTTACCAATGAAAGATGGAAAGGACTTGCCACCAACTCCATTCAGCTTTAGAGTCCCCTTACCCTAGAGGCAGGACAACTGACCATATAAACTGAAAATCAATTACAAGTTGGAAGGACGAAAAAAATGCACCATGGCAGAGTCTTCAAGGACAAACCTTTCTACTCTCCTTTTTGGGCATGTCCTGAACTAGCATGGTAGGATCAGGATTTGGAAGTTAACATGAAAAGCTTTGTGCTTTAGCCTCTGCCTTGTAGGTAGAGGGCAATGCAGGGAGAGAAGCAGAATGTTCTCTCTCAGGGTTTCCTTCCACGTGAGTATATGTATTAAAATAGATCTCAGAGTTTGGGTTATTTGCTTTCTTTCTCTTTTGTTACTGTGGATCAAACTGAGAACCTTGTGCTTGGCAGGCAGGGACTGCCAGTCCAAGTTTTATCTGCTTTCTTATATCCCACTGGATGCATGACTCTTCCTGTCAAGGAACCAAACAAGTCTCTGGTGTTTATGATATAAAAGAGATGTAGAGAAAAATTATAAAGGCAAGGACATACTAAGTGCTTTGGCTCTTCTTCTGAAACAGCTGTACTGTATGGACACAACTGAATAAACCAAGTTTTAAAGAATATATTCTGCCTTTAGACTTTGAAATATTGCATTTTTCCGAAAGATTCAGTAATTTTATAACAAAGTATTTTATATCCAGTCATTTAATAACCTTTCAGATTATATCCTCTGGGCTTTGTGGTACGGATAAGCACATTTTGGATGGGAAAAACAAAGTACCACTCCCTGCAATTTTGGGCCATGAGGGAGCTGGCATCGTAGAGAGTATTGGAGAAGGTGTAACCAGTGTAAAACCAGGTAGGTAACTGATCAAGATATAGTGTGAATGCATTTTCTAATTCACTCTTTGATTTTCCCCAAAGGTATCATAAAGATAGCAGAAATCAGATATTGAAGAAAGCAGTAAAATTCATTCACATACCAGATTTAGTGCAAAATATAGGCTGCCTAAGATCCAGAATTTTCCAAATCTATGTTTGGCTGAAAGGACTCAGAGAAAAATAGTTTTTCTGTACAGATTACCAACCAGAAATTGAACTAAGAATTGCAAATATATATCATGCATCATGATGTTGGTAAATTAAAAATATGTATGAGTAAGAGCTTTTTTTCTATACACACCTTCACACACACACACACACACACACACACACACAATAATCTTTTAAATTAACTGTGTCATTCTTTATAATTTTCTCCAGAATTTGCTTATCCACATTCACGCTTAACTTTATCACATATTAATTATTCTAATAAACACATTTTGTAGATTTTTTATGCCCACTTTAGCATGAGGAAATAGAAGCTTTGGAAAAATTATCATCTTATTTAGTTTATTTAGCTATTTAATGGCAGAACTAGAATTAAGAACACAGGCTGCCTTATCTCAAATTCTAAACTCTTGTCCAGTAATAGACAGTTTTATAATGAGTTTTAATTTTAGTGAAGACACTGGAGTATTAATTCATTCTTTCAACAAATATTAAGTATATACTAAGTGCAAACCACCTTTCTCCTGGGATAAAATGTTAATTGAAATAGGCAAGCTTTATACCACAGCATTGATTATCACTCTTAGAGTTAACCTTTCTTGACTTTGAACTTCAATGTTACTTACAGACATAAATCTCAAAATTCTCATTGCCCTTTGTTCATTTGTATTGAAATTGATTTTTCATTTCAAAATGAAGTGTTTGTTAACTTCAAGAATAATGACAATTTTCATTATAACACATTGATAATGCCTACTGCAACTTCCTATCAATAAACATGGTGTTGATTTTATAACATGTTCTCACCCACTCTGTTAACCACACTCTTTTATTTTTTTTCCTTAGGAGATAAAGTTTTAACGTTCCCTATTCCTGAATGCAAAGAATGTCAATTTTGCTTGCATCCCAAGGGTAACATGTGTTTGAAGGAAAAGTTAGTCTCAATTTCATTCACTTCCTATCACCCCATGTACTTTCACTGGCACAGGTATTGCCTTTGAGCTAAAATCTTTCATTTTTCTTTTGTCATTCTGTGTATCTGTGGAATCAGGGTCCTGTCTCCAACTGGATTAATGTTAGACGGAACCAGCAGATTTACTTGCAGAGGAAGGAAGATTTATAATCTTTTTGGCACAAGCACATTCACTGAATATACTGTAGTACATGAAATTGCAGTGGGGAAAATTGATGCTGCTGCTCCCATGGATAAGGTCTGCATCATGAGCTGTGCAGTGCCTACAGGCTTCGGAGCTGTGTTTAACACTGCAAGGGTGAGAATACACTTCAGAATTGTGCTCAGTGATTATAACTACACAATGTCAAACCTAGGCCATGCAGTCAAAGAGCTAGTGCCTACACTGTTAAATCCTCAAATGCCTCTTTCCTTTCCCTTTTAAAATAGGAGCATCAGCTATGGATGCTTTGTAGATTTATGCTCTGAACTTTCAGGTCACCCCAGGTTCCACCTGTGTGGTTTTTGGACTTGGAGGAGTCGGCTTAGCTGTTGTCATGGGCTGCAAAGCCTCTGGTGCTTCTAGGATCATCGGGGTTGACATCAATGAGAAGAAGTTTCCCCCGGCAAGAGCACTAGGAGTCACTGACTGTCTCAACCCACGGAACCTCAAGAAACCTGTCCAGGAGGTGGTGAAGGAAATGACAGGTGGTGGTGTGGACTTTGCCTTTGAAGTTATCGGAAACACTGATACCGTGGTGTGTGGTCTGGGGGCACAGTGAGGGGTGCTACTGTCACTGTGTGGATACACATTAAATCAACTTCATGAAAACATGAAATTACTCTAATTAATTTTGTTTTGAGTTTTGTTTGGCTTGGTTTGGTTTGGGGGAGGTTGGAGGGGTTTTGTTTTATGCTAGGAATTAAACTCAGGACCTGGCACATTTAAGTACATTCTATCATTGAGTTAAACCCTATTTTTAATATAATTACTTTCAGTACTTAAAATTATTTTCAGTTTGAGCACATCTTATGTGCCTTATACTTTGCTGACACATTTTCATTTTCATATTTTATCCCACTTAATTTGTATTTCACCCTTACTAGTTAAGTAGAAATATCCACATTTTAAAGATTAAAAATCTTAATCACATTGAATTTAAGAGTTTGCTAAAGATCTCCTTGTGAGTGTACTACATACTTTTCAATGCTATCGTATTTCTACCATATTGTTATCCTGAGATTATATTTTAGGATTGTATGAAGATGTTGGGCTATTGAGATGTTAATGTTCTACTTCTGGAATTAGGTTGCAGCTTTGGAATCATGCCACATGAGCTATGGAGTATGTGTGATGGTTGGAGAATCACCCTCAAATTCACGACTCTCCTTTGACCCAATACTGCTTCTCCCTGAGAGGAGCCTGAAAGGTAGCATTATGGGAGGTAGGTCTTTTCTCTTCCTTTTTCCTTTCCCAGAATCTCAGACACCCTGCCTGCTACTTGGTAAGAAATGGAGGTGAGGGAAGGTAGGAAAAACAATCTTCTTTAAAGGAAATAGAAGACTATACTAAAAACAGGAAGTATGCATTTACCTCCCAACATAGATGCTTACTACCTACAACAGCAACAAGAAATTATGAGTCTAACATGGATAAGTTATCAGAGTCATCTTTTATGGTGCTTATTGGCACTATACCATATTCCCTATTTGGTAGAGAGCCATGGTATATTTCTGGGCTACTCCCTAGTACAAAATAAGACTGCAAGAAAGTCTCACTATGTTGACCCATCATTTTCACCTTACCAGTCAGCCTGATTTGCTCTTTAAGAACAAAGGATGTAACTCCGTGTTGAATGTCACACTGGTCTCTGTGTTTGAGGCTTGGTCCCCAGGGAAGTGCTGTGGAACTGTAGGAGGTGGGGCCTTTGAGGAGGTCCTCAGGTCACTGGGGACACTTCAGTAAGGATTGCAGTGAGACCTGGGCCTCCTCTGATTTAGTTTCCTGGCTCATAATAAAAGCAGTTTTCTGCACCAAATGTTTCCACAATGATATGTGGCCTTGTTAGAGACCCTTGTCCCCAGTTGTGGACTGGAACCTCTAAAAATGCTAGCCAAAAAAAACAAAAAGCTTTTTCTCTTTGTAAGTTAATTATCTCAGGGATTTACAAGAATAATGAACAATGAATTGATATTTGTTACAAATGGTGCACAAGTGACTAACCAGAGACAGGCTCTATGCATGCAAAAGGCTGGGATTGTTCTGTTCTGATGCAGATGAACTGAGATCAGAAATGATTTCAGCAGCTAGTCAGGAAAGATGTTAAGTTTTTATAGGTTATAACCCTAATAAATCTGGATGGAATGCTTAGGATCAAAGTTCCAAGGACAGTCAGTGCAGGCATGCATATAATACTGGACTTCTTAGTGCCATGGAGATTGTATGTCTTGTCCTAAAATGTCCTTATGTCCATCTGTTCTGTTTACTGAGGGTAGCATGGCCCTTTAATGGTCTCCTGTTGTTCCCTGAGGGCTGCATGCTTGCTCAGAGGGTTGCACTCATGGCAGGCATGACAATATTTATTAAACAACATAAAATATTTGTAGTTAGGGCTCTGATAAAGAATACCAGCCATCTCTTTAAAAGAAGAGCTCAACTTTTCTTTGGAGCCTAGTATTGATATTTGATTGTGGCCCTAAATAAAACTTTAAATGTCTATTTTTAAAACTTTGTTAAGAATATAAAGATCTAGGTTTGGCTTTGACATTGTCTAGATGTCTGTTGGTGTCTTAAAATATACATAAGGTTTGCTTTAACCAAGTGTAGAAGATGACAGACATATAGATAACTGTCTCAAAAGAGCATCTGCCCACAGTTCCCAAGAGCCATGGGCATTCCACCCCACACAAGGCCATACAACAATGCACTGGGGTCCAAGAGGAGGAATAAGAAATAAAATGGAAATTAGGGCCAGAGCTTTATTATGGTTTTTATAAGAAGGAACAGAAAACACAGGGGAGGCAAGCAAGTTTAGACTTAAACAGCTAGGATAATTTTGATGGAATGCGCAAGTTATCTGTTAACTAGCCCTGGGGTACTTAAGGGATGAGAATACCGTCTCCACTGCTTGATAACAGGAGAGTATAGAGGAAATGGGGTTATGTTCTTGATCTTGGTTGGTTTATGTATCAAAATTGTGCTCCTGGACAAGTTCTCTGGTCTCTCTAGGAATTCCCTAATCTTGGAAGGTAGAGTCTCTCCCTGGGCCTCCAGGGACCTGAAATGCAAAAGCATTATAAAATATAGAAAACATAATTATTACAATCAGTGAAAAATATTCATGCTCTCTAAACTTTACCCCCCTCAAAATTATAAAGGAAAAATAATCCTGAAGCCTGATGATCAAATAGTAGATAGGACTTAGGACCTAGGTATGGTGCCCTACTGCAGCACTCTTCAAAGCACGATTACAGACTGGATTTATCTCTGGGACTAAAATGTGAGGTGTGTGCAGTAAATGTATCGGGAGCCTCTAGAGAAGGGAGACAGGTAACTCCAGTCCATCCAGCTGAAAGGTAAGCTGCTAAGGACCTGGTAGTGGCCTGCAGACAAAGAGCTGTGGTTGATGCATGGTGGTCAACACAGCATGGTCCGCAGTCCACAGGGCTCACCTGGGTAGTACTGCTCTAGGACATGTGGACCATCCTACTAACTGAGCAGCACCTGGATTGTCCTGTGGAGGAAATTATCTTGCCTTTTATGCCTAGAACAAGGACCAAAGGTGAGCAGTTGGCTATCTGCTAACAGTGCTTTTATAAACTTTATACACAAATAGTTCATTGAATTCTTTGGTCAGTTTTAATAGTTTCTATGTCATGTTATTTTTCCTCTCCTTCTACAGAGTATAAAACGAGATCTTGTATTCCTAAACTGGTAACAGATTATATACAAAAAAAATTTAACACAGACCCACTTATAACCCATCAGTTGCCTTTTCAAAAAATTAACGAGGCGTTTGAATTGCTCCATGGTGGATACTGGTAAGTATTGCAAGAGTGGTGTGTGTGTTTGTGTGTGTGTGTGTGTGTGTGTGTGTGTGTGTGTGTAAGATGTGCCACTGAGGCATTTTACACATCTAACTTTATCAAAATGTTATGAAAAATTTACTTTTTGACATTTCAGACATATTTCTATTCAGAAAAGTCATTAAACTGTATGACAAGATTGTGCTATACCCACAAGCAAAACACAGCTAATTATACTGCAGTCTTCAGTTTGTGGATGATTTGGTCTTGGAGTGCAAGATACTGTATCCTGTATATGAGCAACACCTAGTCAGAAAATGCAAGACTCAAGCTTCTGGGCATAGAGACCTAAATTCTTACTGAACAGAGTGAGGGGAGTACTCAGAGAGAAGGCAACTACTGGTGTGAGCCTTTGGAACCTGTAGATCTATAACATGAAGATTCTAGGTGTAAGGCACTGTAGAAATTGGAACTATGTCACAGAGGGCAACCTCCAATGTAAGTATGTGGGCATCTCTTCCATGCCTGCCACCAAAGCCATGCCCTGTACTGTGTACTTCTCCTAGTCTGTCCCTACAAACCCATAGGAGAAAGAAAATGTGAAAATAAAAAGCAAAAAGTACAGATTACAAGAAACAGATTGTGTTAGTGTAAAGGTTTTGGCTGCAAAATATTTCCTGTGTAAGTTAAGTAAAAGGGCAAGAACTTTGACTTCCAACGAGCTAGGATTCTCTAGGCTGTTATCTTGCCTTTCCTCAGCCCAACTATCTGATATTGCTACTAATTACTTTAATGGACATAAATCTGTAATAGTTTAGGTTGAAGTACTGAATAGACTTGACTGAAATTAGCCCACTCCAAAGGATCTGAAAAACAATTGTTGTACTGTTTGATCCTGAAGTCAGATGCCACCTGTCAGACATGCTCTTATTTTACATATATTGAGATCAGAGAAAATGAGACTAGGTTTTGTAGGATCTGTAACAATGTGACAAAGTGGATTTATAGACTTTTGAAATGACTCTCCTTTAAAGAAATCTTTCGCTAAACATTCTGCTACCATACCCAGGCACTAATCAAAGGAGAGCATTCTGTTGGTCTCCAATAGTAAGAAAGAATCTATCACTAGTTCGAGAAAAACAACAGACTATTCTCTACTTGGTAACCATGGATTAAAAGTACTACCTTCATAGAAAAAGGCAAGCATGCTGGACACTTGGAAAAATCACAAGAGATGAGACTAATCTAATGTTTCTTACATACACAATAATGAATAAGAGAAAATTTAAGCTAAAATTTAGACACCACATACTTCACGCAGATTCAATTTAACATTCACCAAAATAAATTTAAAAGAAACTATGGGAAGAAATTAAAAGACACATATAAGTTTTTTGAGAAACTGAGATAGTCATTATGGAGAATATGCTTTGTTTATGGGATGGCCACTTTTTCAGAGTTAACACATAAAAAGAATATAGAAGCTGCCATTTCTGCTCTTCACAGTAACTATGACTAACACTGATTACAGGTAAGCCTGGACATTAATTTAAAACTCTGAAACCTAAGCCACAACTTCCTCCTAGAACAAAGCAGTTCACCAGATCGTTCATAAATATCTCAAGCAATTTACATTACTAAAGTGAATTATCAGGCAATGTTACTTCCTTTAAATTTTATTATAATTGCTTTCATAATTATGTATTATTGAGGAACATTAGACTTTTGGCACAGATGAGAAAAATTAACATTGGCAGTGTGCGTGTGGCAACAGGATAAAATGCAGTAGGAGAACCTCAGTGAACTTTTCTGAGGAAAGAAAACAGACCAACTTCTGGATCCATGTAAAACTCCTGGGCTAAAAAAGCATTAGTAGGCCTCAATCCCACAAACAGAAGGCACTTGTAAAACCCTCTGTGCTAAGGGACCTCAAGAACTTAGATTATTACAGGTGATGAGCAGATGAAAGCTCTGAGACAAATTGATATTACTTTCATTATTGGAAAAGAAAATTAAGACCCAAAGAATTACAAGCCACTTTCTAAGATCATACTTACTGTGCAGATTATTCCAGATTCTCACTACTTTGTTTTTGTGAGGCTTCCATGTTACTCATGTTTCATCATTTTACCTCCTATACTCAACCCGTTACATTGTGTGAGCTTCTTTCACTTCTTCTCATCCTGCTCCTAAGGATGATAGAAGCTCATGACCCTGGGCCTTCACACTTGTAATGCCTACGCCAGGATATGGCCCATCCATACCCACCTAGCCAAACTCTGGCTCTTTAACTCCTCGACAACCTCCATCTCCTGGTGTAGAAAGATCTTCAAGCTTCGTTTTTGCTCATTCCACCCATGCTGTCTCCATGCTAACATGTAAGGTGATGCATTCTAATTGTCTATCGGATTAGTGATTTGTCAGATGAATTCTTGATGTTACATTTTTTATTTATAGCCCCATCAGCAAGTACAATGCCTCAAACATGGAAGTTGCTCAGTAAAAAAAATTCTGGGGTCAGGGATTTAGATCAGCAGTTCCAACTCCTGCCTCACAAGGGCAAGACCCTGCGTTTGATCCCTGGTAACAAAAGAAAAAAATTCAGTTTAAATGAATCAATAAGAATATTAATTTTAAAATTCCCTAATATAAAAGCTTAGAACAGTGGACTTAGAATACTATGTATGTCTGAGGAGCTTTCCACTATTCAGTGTATATTATTCTTGATAGAGAACAGTTTAACAGCTATTAAAAGTAAGGTCATGTCTTGTAAGCACAAAGTCCCATGTTCTTTGAACCCCAGTAACCCCCCCCAAAAAAAAAGTAAGGGCACAGGGCCAGGGATTAGCTCAGTGGGTGCTGCCACCTGCCTCGCAAGCACAAGGTCCGGAGTTCAATCTCCAGTACAAAAAAAAAAAACTAAGAGCATATGCGGTACTTAGAAACTAGAGAGGGCTTATGGGAAGTTTCTATCGCTATGCTAGCAGTCAGCCAGCTAGAGTGGTAAGACGCCACAGCCCAACGAACCCTACAACTTTGGGTCAAACAGAGGTAACAGCTTATGGATCCTCTTGCTTTAGTTTCTTTGCTACTCACTGCTAAAAGCAGATCATATAATTGCCAGTTACCCACTGGATGTGATTCCAGAGACATTTTCTGATGTCTGTGAGGGGAAGGGATTAATGTAGAGATATGAAACAAACACGAGTATACGAGTCTCTCTCTTAAAACTCATGCACTGTAATTATTTTGTATGAGAAGTATATGGCAGGAAAGTTAGTGATTTAGATATTTACATCTTTTTGTGTTTCAGCATCCGTTGTGTCCTCTTGTTCTGAGATCCAGATCATGAAGATTAAAAAAATGAACATCTCAAAAAAAAAATTATCTCCTACAATGATTCTCCAGTCCTCTTTATCCCCTGGGAAACTTTGTTGCAATACATAGATGCCAGCATAAGAAACGATTTATAACATTTTAAGAAATAAAACTACTACAATAAAATTAACTATTTTAGAACACATTGACATTTTGGCCAAAATCTTGAAGAAACAATAAATAAGGATTATTGATAGGAATGGCTTTGTATCTAGCTCCAGACATCTCATTTTTTGGTGGTGGTGGTGGTGGTGGTGGTACTGGTGACCGAATCCAGGTGTTTTCTCAATGAGCTACTTGCTCAGCTTTTTTAAGTCTTTATTGTGAGACTGGTTCTTGCTAGGTTCCTTGGCTGCTGGGCCAGGCTCAGACTTAGAATCCTGCTGCTTCAGCCTCCCTGGGATTATAGGTTCGCACTACCATGTTCAGCACAACCTCAATTTAAATTGGTTTTACTTTGGAAAGGTCTCAGTTAAGCTTATAGATTTTATTAAAAATTTACAAAAGGACAGAACAAACCAGAAGGAACACTTTTAAAAACTTATACCTTTCCCCATCATCCCAAATGTATCTGAGTTGTTTTAGAAAAAACTGATGTCTCCTTTCTGAATAAGAGCTAGACATAAAATGGACCAAGCTTTCCTGTTTGGAATGGTGGGAAGAGTAAATACTGACCAATCTTCTTGACGTGCACTCTTAAGCCTTTTGTAAACAATAACGCATCTTTTCTATTTCTCTTTAATGTACGGTTCCATCTTCCGTGGGCCTGCAGTCTTGGAGTAGACTTGAGACAAGACCCAGGTGCCCACCACGTTTGTCCCTCAGCTTCACAAACTTGAAGCTCTGCAGAATGAAGGGATGTTTCTAGCCCAGTGGGAGGAGCACTTGCAAAGCCTCTCCCGTACTCCCAAGACAGCAGGAGGCTCAGAAATTTCTTCAGGGTCGGACACATACTGCCACCGTGAGGCCAGAAGTCAGCAAAATTAACAAGAGTTTTCCTTCTCTGATTTCAGTGTTTCCGGATAAGCCATGACTTTACTCCCACTGCAGACAGTCTCTGTTGTAAGCTGTCATCCCACAGTGCATGAGGAGCCTGACCTCACAGGATGACTCCAAGTGCTCTGCTAATCATCAGGACATAGGTGCCAGGGCCACAGGGAAAGGTGAACCCTTCTCTGGGAACCCCCAAGGCTCTTGTCAGATGTGGATATATAGAAAAATATAGAGAATTGTCCACAGTGACCTTGAGAATCACATCATTTTGTTTTCCTACATGCCAGTAAATACAAAGTACACAAAATGCTTTCCCTCTTGTCCTTCCTTTCATTGTACCTAACTCTGCCTCTGCCATTCACATTTCTGCTCTGTGCTCCTTCCCTTGGATATTCACATAACCCATGCCCTCCTTGATCTCCGAGTATGGGAATGATTGACTTTGCCTTTGGATCACCAGTTTTAAGAGTCGGGCTGCCTAGATGAAGCAGGCTTGGTTTTGGTAACTTGTAATGTCTATTGCACTCTGTGGCACCTTTGCACTGACTGAGCATCGCCCATTGCATGCATGCACTAGGTACCTAGGGAGCACCCACGCTGGGAGCACCACAGCTTCTGGTCCCACCACCTGCTAGAGATGGCGGGCCACCAAGCAACAGGGACTGGGAGGGAGCACAGGCTCTGTCCCCCCATGCAGGAGACCCAGGCTTGGTTATTCAGCTACTCAACACTCACACACACCTATCTTCTTCATGATTACTTATAAAATACTGTCTTTAAACTCAGTTCTGAACTTAACTTTCATTTTCAAATCAAAAAGTTAACTGTCTTGTCATAAACAGGAAATCAGTCCCACCTCCAGAAGTAGAAACAAATCCAAAGAACAGTGAACAGAATGATTAGAATGTGCAATGGCCCACTTCCTCATTAAGGGGAAGATGAACTGAAACAAAGGATGCTAAAGCCTTAATGCCAAAAGTTGAGAGCTGGAGCCAGAGTGATGAAAGCCCTCAAGGGAATTTGCAAAAGGCTCTGGTTGCATGGCTCAACATTGTTTAATGACTTGGCTCGCCACTGTGTAAAATCATTTTGTATTCAACTTAAAATAGTTTCATGGATCAAAGCAGTGCTCATCTGTGCCTGTCAAGCAAGGACATGGTGGAGGATACACTTCCGGACTTTCATGAGAGGGCAGTAATGAGAAACACTCAAGGGGGCAAGGAAGGGACAGTGAGGCACCAGCAGACCAGCAAGAGAGAGGAGCCTGGGACGAGAAGCAGATAGAATTCACTGGGTCTAGTGGAGCTCCTGCGAAAAAGCTGTGGAGGAGCTAGTTATGAGACAGAGGTAGTGCACAGACACAGCAGAAAGTGCAAATGGGGAAAAGATACTGACACTTTTCTCTCTTTCCATCTCCTCTACCTCTGATTGGCTGGCCTAAGCAGAAGCCAAATGACAAGCTTAGGAGAGGCAGTCCGTAAAGTCATCCTCTTGGAGTACAGAGCTAAGCACAAGGATTCGGGACAAGGTAGTGAGCACAACAAGTCCATACAACCTCCCTGGCACCATTGTCCAGGGTCACATGAGGGGCACATACCAGACAAGCCTGAAGCCTACATGGAAGGCAAGTGTGGAGGGAGTTCTGGTAAAGGCAAACATGCAGCAAAGCTTAGAGGTGTTGGTGTTAGGTTATTTGTGTTATCTACATAAGAAGGAGGGTTGAGAAGGAATGTAAATCTCTATTCTATTTGGACATTTCACACACAAGAAAATAATTCTGATTATGAGTGCACTCGTGAATGAAGTGGAATCTCACTGTGGTTTTAGTTTTCATTCCTTACTGGCTCAGATGTTAAGCAACTAATCCTATGTGTACAAGATGGGGATGGAAGGGGTCTTTTCACATCCCAGCACTGTGGTATTTCTCTCAGTTGTCTGGTGTCAGTGCCCACATTACTGAGATGATACCCACTGGACAATGGCTATTCATATAATGGAATGGGATTCCAACTTTGGGTTTTCTCATTCTCTGAGTCTGTACCAACAGGGTCTGCTTACAGCACTCATTCTTCTCTAGGCCACAAATTCATCCAGCTTCATGTCCTGAGCAGCTGCTGCATTTCACTGAAGCCTGGCTTTTGAAAATCTGAGTTCTACCTTCACTAGTTAAGGTTCACTGAATTCTGCTGTGTGGAGGTAAGGCAGGCCAGTAGAGGAAGGCACAGGCATGTGACTGTCACTTTGATCTGGATGCCACCTGCGGCGATTTCCTTATGATGACCCAGACATGGATTCTCTCTGCCAGGATCTCTCAGGCAATCACAATCTGGCCTCTGTGGCTCAGCCCTACAGGTATTCCCACTATCACCATGGGGAGCAAAGGTAGATAGTATTATGTGCATAATACAGACACATACACAAATATATACACATATAAAAATGCACACACATATATACATATAAATACATATATACATACACATCTAAACATACATATTGACATACATGTGGATATACACGTGTACATATCTACACACATGAATGAACACATACACAAATTTACACATGGGTATACAAACAACATATATACACATATACACAAACATGCATAGACAGAGATGTATTTACACACCTACATATACATTTATGGATCATATGCATGTACACATACATATATAAATGCATACACACGTGCACATGTACACACATATGTATTAGTGCAGATGAGCACATCAGCAATAAGGTGACCATGTCATTGCAGTAGCAAACAATCACAAATTCCCCATGGAAGTCTTGGTGATTTGTTTTTTAATTTCATTAAGTTTATTGGTGCTTTTTATGCATACAGTATAGTTACATTCACCATTGGGATCTCATACCTTTACATGACAGATCTCAGTTCTCATTTTTTTCCCATATCCCTGCCTACCCTCCCCTATTTACAAAGACTTTGTTTCCATTTGAGTCTTGGTGATTTGTGAGATGTACCATGGTGACCGGCAATCATGGTCTCTGAAGATGTCTACATCCTGGTCCCCAGGGCCTGGGCACCTGCCATCTCGCACAATAGGAACTTTTCAGTGTGATAAAGTTAAGGATCTTCAAATACAAAGATTATGCTGGACCATCTGAGTGGCACCAGGAAAAAGGGAAGGAGGTGGTAAGAAATCAGAGGGACGCAAGGACGGAAGCTGAGGCTGCAGTGATGCGGCTGCTGTGTGGGGCCATATGTCCAGGAAGTCACTGCTGTCTGGGCTAGGAGCAGGTCCTCCATAGCAGGAGCACAGCCTGTTGACAACTTGACTGTGAGTCTCTTACTGTAGCCATAGGAAACCCCATTTCCTGTCTCTTGGATCTGTCACCCTGGAAGCCTTGAGTCACCAGGTGATATCTAGCTCCCCTGCTGGGGAAAGACCTTCAAAGGGCCTCACAGGGTGAGGAGCCTAGCAGGCTCAGCCTTCCAGAACCTTCTAGGTGCTTCCAGAACCTCCTGTACCACCCTGCCAAACTATAAACATGTCAGAGAAGTGATTGATCTTGGACCTCCCAGCACAGATCCAGCCACTAGCCAGATGCCAAGCACCCTGGTCACACAGGAGCACAGCTCTCAGGATCTGTCTGCTGCCAGTTGGCCCTGGACACCCAAAGCAGTCACTGTTTGTGAACTGCACTTTGGTTCTGGCTTTTCCTTGGCCCGTTTTTAACAGAAGCTCCTACAGGGGCTGAGGTAAGTGGGTTCCTATTTCTTCCTTCAGGAGAAGGTCTTACCTGGTTTAGCCAGATGCTGGTTCTTTACTGGTAGTGGGTAGAGAGAAAACACAATAGACTGACAGACCAGCCAGGAAAACCTGAAAAAGGAAGGCGCCTCTCCCAACACTACCTCCAACCCTCTGATGCTGCCCAACAGTGTTCTTAGAGGGGCTCCAGGGCTGGGCAAAAGCAGAGGAGGGAAGATAAGAGGAGGGCTGAGGGTCTGTGACTGCGGTGGGCTGGGAGGGACAAAGCCAACAGACCCTGGTGAAGGGGGCTGGTGGGCCAGGGGCCAATTCCGAGAAGCCCAGCATGGAAGGACAGGGGCAGGATGTCACGAGCTGGGTGATGGACGGTCTGAAGTAATCATATACCTGGTGTGGGGCACTGGCCGAGCACAGCAGTTGTGGT